TTGATGATAAGTGGCTTAAATGTTTCCAATTTTTAATAGCATTGCTCAAGGTAACAATTTCCGAGACAATTATATTCTGTCGTAGATAAAGTACGCAATCCATGGGAGAGGTAGACCGTACGTAGATTAAAAATTTTCCAAAAGTTTTCGTCGCGTCATCATAATCAAAACATCGGTTGTGGGAAATGAAGACTAATCGAAAGTAAATTTTCGAGGAGTTTTGGTAAGGTCATGTGTGATGTACGTTACATTGGAGTTCGTTATCCAGTCAAAACGCCTGGTAGTCAAATCTGCGGAAAAATACATACGAGTAGTGCTGTATAGACTTTCGAACAAAATTATGATTACCTACTTATTTCTTTAATCTAATTCGTATTTGTTGTCTTTACAGCTGCATACACATAGTAGCGTAATTTATGATTACGCGGTCGTAATCATAAATTTTATAATAAACGCTACTGTGGATTATAGTAGGTACATACAATACATTTATTTTTAATAAGTAATACCTACTTACTTACTTATTACCTAAATAATTGCAATCTGTGAATTCTGAGAGGTTTATCAAATCTCACAATCAGTCACAAAATGTTAGGTAGGTACTTAAGTAAGTATGTAAGGGTCATTCCATAAAAATCTGTATATTTTCGACGTCATTTTGTCCGTAACTTTTGTAAGATGCTTTTGAATACTTTATTAGTGTAAATTATAGTTTATTAATTAATTATGTTATGTCTAAAAGGGCCAGTCACTTTATGCTTTATTTTAGGAGAAATTATAATTTTCAATTTTTTCATACTACATTACTCCTATATGACTTCTAATAAAGTATAAAACATATAACCTTAACATTTATAGATAAGATAATATGCATAATGTAGTTGTTTTGTTATTATCACTATATAAAAAACATCATTCCCTAACTAGTAATTTAGTCCCAAGTGCCGTTTAAAGCTAGGGCCTGACGCTCTAGGGACTGACGATTTGGAGTAAAACTTAACACAAATGCAGATTAACTTTATATTATAAGATGCTTAATACGATGTGCCGAAAATAGCCAAAAAACCACACGTAAATACTATTAAATTATATACAATTTCCTATTATAATCAATAAAGCTACTCAACTAGGGACTGACGAAGTGACTGGATTAACACATGTTTCCGCAACAACTGGCACGTTTGCACTAATTCAAAAAACGGCTACCGCAAAGCCAGTATGGTCTGAGGATAACTTCGTATCGTACTTTAAACTCAACTAAATGTCATTCACTCTAAATACACATTAAAGCGCAAAATTATAAAATCAGTGCGTGGCGAGGGAATGACGCTAAAAGCTGTAGACTCTTTTTCAACTAAAGAAAATCAAATTGTTGTTTATTGAAACCGCAAAACATTAATAGAATTTGGTGTAATATACATTTAAATAGATTATTCGTTAATTAAAACAAAGGATAAAGTTGATGTTTTTATAAATGTGGGTCCCAAAACACAAACTTTTGGAGTACGGACATGCCTAGGGAATGACGTTTTGGGTCATTCAAAAGGAATTTAAGATGTTTTAAAAATAGTTTCAAAAAATATAAATGGGTGATGAATAAAGCACATTGCGAGCTGTTATTTAACAATTTTGGAATAAAATATTAACAAATATTTCATGTGAAATGTGGCGCGGACTAAGAGTTGACATATTTTTGTGGAATGACCCGTAAAAGTAATTTCTTGTAGAGAAAGAGACCTACACAAATGGCTCCCATCCTTGCTGGATGGTAGTGATGTTTGGAAAGAATTTGGCTGGTATTGCACTCGTAATCCAACAACATCGTTTACTTTACGTTTACTTCACACACTTTATGTTATTTGTCATAATTAGAATTCCTGTAAACAAGTGGGACAGTTGGTTAATTAGAACTAAGCAGATTTTTGCACATGAAAAATTAAAGTCATTGATTAAAGTAGGCACATACTTACAATAAAAAACTTTTTAGTAAGTTAAGAAACTAATTTCTTCATCTTCTTATTTTGTTTTTGGCCAGTTAGTTAAACAAATGGTTTGGTGGTTTTTTAATCTTCTAATAAATATTTGTGTTATAAAACTTAATTTCTTCCACGTTATTTTTTAAAAAATCCGCCCTTACATTTTCGTTTTCCCGCGCAAACAACCTTCCACAGATTAATAATTATTATGCACATTGATAACGAAAAATATGAAGCAATATTATTGTTTTTTATTTTACTTTTAATAATTAACAAAGAAAAACTATACAATAACATGAACTTGATAAGTAGTTATCTCCTTCTTTTCATCTCGCCTCAAAATCTGAAACGGATACGCTGAAGTCCATACCGACCAAATGTATGGCTGGCTTAAAAATCCAGCGGATGTTGTTCGATTTTGACAGATCACAGATCAATCACCACTTCGCTCTCGCTTACCGTTCGTTCGTTCATTCATTTCAGAAGTAAACAAATAGCTGAAATCTTATTTTTCTAAGCGCTAAGTTCATTTCAAGAGTTCAAATAACGCATTTTTCAATGGCAGGGTTATTATTAAGTGAAACCGAAAAAGTGTTTATACTTCATGGAGTTCAGGTAAACCCATTTATTAATATTTAAAGAAACTTGTGACATAACCTCTAATGAAACCACAACTTCTTCTAAATACTTCAATAAAAATATTTACCCAGCTTTGATAACTTCATTTACACGTCCAATACTCTTTAAACCTAATACTCACTGCTTCTTTGGTCACATTATTCGACAAAAGCAAAAATTGATAATGATGTCAGATTTTAAAGTAACTGCATAAAACTTGTAACCATTGTTAACTTTACAGGATGACTATCGTTCAGATGGTCGATCAAATATCGACTACCGACCTATGGAACTGGAAACCGACGTGGTCAGCCATGCCAGCGGTTCAGCTAGGCTGCGACTAGCGAACACAGACATTCTAGTTGGTGTTAAAACAGAAATAGACGTGCCTAAGCCTGAAAAACCAGATTCAGGGAAATTAGAATTCTTTGTGGATTGGTAAGATTTCAAACTATTTTGCATTTATGCACAACTTCTATGCCAGTGTGCCAACTGTTATAGTTATAAACAATGTATATTTTTAAACCTTTGAATTTTTTCTTTTCAGTTCAGCCAATGCTACGCCAGAGTTTGAAGGTCGAGGTGGTGAACAGCTGGCCAGTAGTATATCAAACCTGATGCAAAGAGCATACCACTCTTCACAAGCATTCAACTTGAAACAGCTTTGTATATTTGAGGGGAAGCAGTGTTGGAAATTGTACATTGATATCTTGGTAAGACACTTAGCCCTTGTGATTAGTAATTTTGTAATTTATTCAGTTCTAGCCTTCTACTAGAATAGTGCTAAGTGTAGCTAGAAGTTTTCTTTGACAGAAATAATACATTTATCTTGGAAAAATGTGTTCCTTAGCATGAAAAAATGCCCTGTGTAAATGATATTTTTTAAGCATTGTGTCTGCTTGTGAATCAGAAAGTTCTGTACAAGAATTAGCATTTTTTAAGGTCAGACTGACCTAAATACAATGATCATTGTATTTAACTGTTTTAGATTCTAGAATGTGGAGGCAACCTGTGTGATGCAGTATCATTAGCGGTCAAAGCAGCACTATTCAACACAAGGATACCTTTCGTAAAAGCTGCTCTGATGGACGGTGGGAATGTAGACCTACAGCTGTCAGACGATCCTTACGACAGCAAACTGTTAAATGTTGGCTCTGCACCATTACTGGTAAAAACATAATTATGTTTTGAGTAACAGAAAATTGTATTTTTATAATTATTTTCAAGATTAATTTAATTTGCTTATCCAGCTGCGCCATTAGTTCTTGCCATTTTGAAAAAGAAAACTTAAATATAATTAGGTAACATAGGTACTTCCAGGCCCCTCTTTCCCAGTGGGCACTTTGGGCACGTGCCCAGGGCCCCGCGACCAAGGGGGCCCCCGTCTGCTCGAAAGACCTTTCTCCAGATGATAAGGGGCCATCATTGATCCTTAAGTGCCCCGGGCCCCTAGTAGGTTAAAGACGGCCCTGGGTACTTCCAATAATTTCAGAGTGCTCTGGAATTCCTGTCGCTGAACATTTATTTATTTATACTTAAATGCCACAAAATTGGTACTTAAGGTGAACTTAATGCGTTTGGGCATTATCTACCATTCAACTATGAAGAAAAACTTTGAGTGAAGTGAAATGCACTATGCTCACTATGGTGAAGGCTGATTTAATTTCTTTTTTTATTCTTTACAGGTAACACTATGTAAAATAGGTGACAGATGTGTAGTGGACCCATCTGCAGAAGAAGAGAGTTGCAGTGTTATATCTCTGATTGTGGGTGTGACTGGAAATGAACAGTATTATGCCAGAGATGAAGACACAAATGTCAAAACAATAGAGGGGAAATGTACCACAATCGCCATGAATGGACCAGGCAGTGTCGCACCGAAAACTTTGAAAGATGCTATTAATCAGGGAATGTATGTATATTATACTTTCTATTACTACACAAATATTACATGAAAATCCTTAAAAATATTATTTTAATTTACAGAATGGCAGCTAAATCGCTCGATGAAGCGTTAGGACACGCACTATTGAGGGAGAGACAAGAAAATGTAGGCCTCAAAAAACATTCTTATGGATTCTTAAAATAAATCAATGGATAAAATACTGTGTATCAATGGAAGACCTACAAACGAGACAATAGTATAACTAAAAGTGGGTTGTTTGTTAGTATATGAAAAGATTTTACAGTTTTTCTATGAAACATAATATACAGTCCACCACGTCAAGTCACATTTAGGGACTTTAGTGGAACTACTAGCACAGAATGAAATAAATACTACTATAGTCTGGTCGCCAAGCACGTAGAATTTTGTCCAATGACCCCAAGCTCGGAGACCGGGCTTTAGTGGGAAGGCAGGATGTAATTAGAAATGAAACAACCAATTTTGCCCTTTACCTTTATTGAAATAATGGTTACAATATCACTACAGTAATACATCGTAGTATAATTAAACTAATATAAGATCACTCAGTCATACTAAATATCACATACATTTTAATGTTACCCATTCGTCCAGGATATGAGTTACACAAAATAATTATATTGATTGGTTTTGTAACATATTATACTTAATTTGTAATTTGTCAAAGGTAAATAAAGAAAACAATATTTATAAGTTAAAAGATAATCTTAAAGTAAGAAAAGAGAAATCAAGAAATGTATGTATTAAAAAGAAATGCAGAAGTATCATAATTTCATCACATACAAAGATGACGAATACATAAAACCTGCTAAATAGACTGGAAAAAACTATTATTATAGGTACGACATACAGATTAATCATTGATCACATACAATAATCACTTTAGACCTAAAATGTGGATCACCACTACCATAGAGAGGTACATTTTAAATCCTAAATTAGGCGATATCTAGACACATATATTTTTGGGCACTAATAGTGCTAATCATTTGTATAATAACAAGCATAAATGAGATTAGCAAACCCAAATTATAACTACAGTTAAGAATAAAATCGTATATTGTTATCCCTAATGATAATAAAAAGAGAGCAGGCCTTTTCTAAGTACAAGCGAAAAGGCCGTTATAATCAACGATATTAAATATCCTAGATACAACTGCATTACCAAAACTGTCCCAAAAGTTGCAAGACGCGGGTCCCATTTTCTCGTTTTAAGACATTCAATTATAAAACACTGATATTTTATTCATAACTAGAAATACGACACTCCTTCCTTTTTGGAGTGGTTATATTTTTCTGCATTTTTCACGGAGCACTTCGATGGGCGATTGTGAGAAAGATAGCGCTTGAAAAAGCGCTCTTTTTTCGAGTCATGGATAAAGCGCTGACGATGTATCAAGCATTCTTTTTGGGTCAAGTTTAGAGCGCAGACGCTGTATCTAAAGTACTTATATCGTTGGTTCGGAGATTGTTTACTTAGGCTTGTTGGGGCTCACAGGGGTGAGCAAGTCCAACACAGCTGCGATATTGCCGTCCTTGCTTTCCAGCAGCTGAGTGAGCCAACCGCCCTCGTTGGTGAAGCCCATGGCCAACATTTGCTTGATGGCCGCGTCTACGTTCGGCTCTAGAAAGATACAACTACGAATTAATATGACTCAAGTGCTTATTTTAAAAAAGATGAATAAAAAAACTGAAAAACACAGTTCAGCATACACTTTTTTATTGGCAGGTAAATAAAACTTTATAAACATAGTTTTGACCTACACAGTGCATTAATCGGTGTTTGCAATGCAACAGTCTTGTAGGGGCATGGTATAAAGTGAACATTTATTCACTGCAAATGTTCAAAACATCTATGCAGTAGAATTTGGTGTAATATCTTTAAAATCAATGTAATAGACATATCGAAAATCTATTTTCGTTAGCACTAGTACATCGCACAGTCGTAGGTATTGAACTATTGAATTAATTACGTATTAGTTCCAGTCTGATAGTTTATCAGTGAGTCACGCCATTTTAAGTCTAAAGGACTCACTAAGCGTTCCTTTGTTTCGTAAATACAATGCAATTTGCTGTATTATATTTTATGTGAAAGTTTCCTATTCAACTGTAAAATTAACTCAATTATTTTTATTTGCCAATCACATCGAATCAACGAACAAGTTACTATAAATTAAAAATAAAAACAATGGCACCATTTCATGATCATCACACATTCTTTTGTCAGAGATGCTCTGATAAAGCATAAAAAGTAGGTGAATTGAAAATGCATGTCATTGTGTCGGGTACCCTACCAACAGTGAGGCTTGTATTGATTTCAATTCAACCATCTCAAAGATAATCAAAAGTCACGTGTATCTCTCTAACTACTTGACATTGGCAGAATCACTGCGTGGCGCCCTGGGCGCTTCAGCGGGACAGTCCATCCCAAAAAAAAAAAAAAAAAAAAAAGATTAAATTCACAATAGACAACATTTTCTGCATGGTTTAGTTGAGGGTAGGACTTGTTTAGCAGTGAACGTCCTGTGGCTGAAGTGATGATGATATGGGCCTGTTCCGCCTGGCTAGCTACCACCATCTAAGTCTGTCCTCTTATGAGGACAGATAACTACTTGAACAGTATTGTTTCGGCAGTCTGAGTTAAACCTGGCTACCTTAGATCAGACAGTTCCGTGTGGAGTTCCTGTGGTTGATGATTCCTGGTGAAGCTCGCTTTCACTTTCGGCCTGATCATACTTCTTATCAGATGAAATACATCTCACCAGGCCTACAGGCCAAGTGATTCCCCGTTTATAAACCATTTGTTAAACTTACTTGGGTGGTATTTGGTCTGAGCCATTGGTGCCGGTTTCGGCTGAGCCGAAGATGCAGGTTTCGGCTGAGGAGCAGCAGCAGTTGCGGCAGACGAGAACACCGGTTCAAACGGGTTGGGCATCACTTGCGTATTCCCTGAAGGGATGGTGCTGGTAATCCAAGGCATATACTGCGGCATCATCACATGAGGCATGGTTGGTGGGTGTGGCGGCATCGGCATGGGCACTGTAATAATGTAAATACATAAAAAATAATAATTGCTGTTCGTTTGTCTCGCTAAAACTCAAGAACGGCAGGGCCGATTTATGGGGCGTTCATTAATTACGTAAGGTGATTTTTGGACCCCTCTCCCCCCTTAGTCAGATATGGCGAGATATGACTTGACCCCCTCCCTCTACCTCACGTAAGATTGTTCAAAATGAGTATTTTAGAGTAAATACTGTAATAGATGTATGTGCTTCTTTGCATTTATTAAAAAAAAATACAATCAATTTTACACTGTTTCTTGCGGATAAAATTAATTACTTGACAGGACCCCCCATCTCCCCTAAGATTTTTTGAGAATTAGCTTGGATTGGAAAAAAACACCATTTGACCTTACGCAGTTGTTAAAAGGGGTGAATTTCCAAAAAAAAAAAGATAATCTATACCTATCTTGTGTCTGTCCGAATTGGAGCTATACCTCTCCTAGGTTCGACCTCCATCTTTTGTGAAGTCGCTTTATGAAGATTTTTTTCAGTTCAAAACAACTGAGAACTTGTTTTTATTGTACGAACTAATTAAAGAGTTGATTTATAACTTGACAAATGGTGAGCAAGATGTTCTAAGTACTATTGCATAGCATGTCTTTCTGCTCAGGTTATTTCATAGTCATATTTCAGTATTCAGTAGTGTTGACACCCGCAGACTACAGTTTTAGTCGGCCGATAGTTGGGCCCGATTCTAATTTGTATGAAGAATCGGCCGATAGCAATGTGCGCACTTTCATACATGTCCACACTGATACTGATTAAGCCCAACTATCAGCCGACGATTCGATTTAGGGAGTAGCATATTTGATAGTAAATAAAACAACCAATTATTCCCTTTACCTTTATTGAAATGTTTAAAATATTTCCATAGTAATACATGACATTATGAAACTTAATGCTATACAATACAAGTCACTCAGTCATTCTAAATATCACATACATTATAACCCATATTCGTCCTGGATACATGGCTAATTAATTATACATAATAATAATAAGTTGATAAAATTTATAACACAATATAGTTTGTAATACGGCAAAGGAAACAGCAAGAAAACAATAGAATTTAAAATATAAATAAATGATCTTAAAATAAGAAACATGTGTTTGAAAGGAATGCAAAAACATATCAATAAACCTACTAAATAGGCTGAAAATATCTATAATATAATAAAGGTACATACGACATACTGATTAATCATTTATCACATGCAATAATCACTTTTAATTAGACCTAAAGTGTGAATCACCACTACCAGAGGTACATTTTTAAATTCTAATTAAGAAATATCTAAATATTTGGGCACTCACAATGCTAATCATTTGTATATTATAATAGCAAGTTTGATTAGCAAACCCAAATTATAAACTACAGTAAAGAAAAAAATCGTATATCATCCACATATCATCCCTAATGATAAGAAAGAGAGCTGTCCTTTTCTATCTAGGTACAAGTGAAAAGGACGTGTTGATATCGTTTATGTGGGCCTCCTCGTGCTCACTGGGGTAAGTAGGTCGAGAACCGCTGCGATGTTGCCGTCTTTGCTTTCAAGCAGCTGAGTTAGCCAACCGCCCTCGTTGGTGAATCCCATGGCCAACATCTGTTTGATCGATGCGTCTACGTGCGGCTCTGCGAAAATTGCAAATGTATTACCCTTTACAATCATGTTAAGTAATTGGCTTGTGTAGGACCACCTCTAAACTCTGATTTTTAATTCGACGGAATTTTGACATTTCAGAAGTGTTGTCAACACTGAAACATTCCCACTAAGAATGGAGAGCATTTTCATAAATTAAAAAATAATCCTTTCTTGAATTTAAGGTTTCACTTGAAAAACTAAGGCTTAAAAATGTACCGATCATTTCAAAATGGTTATTTGAATTTTTATTATCATACTTTTGAAGTTACAAAATAAATTGGGAAATTATTTTTCAATTACTGGTCTCCCTGGCCAATAATCCATGGGTTACAAACCTTTTTTATGAAAATCCTTTTGTTAATAAAATCTTAGCTTCATAAAATAATCAACTTAACAAGATGCCAATTTTATAATCCAAGTTGATTATGATGGCGATAATGATGATTGATGATCAATACATATTTTCGTTTATGATAATATGTTGTTTTACTAAGTTAAAAACACGTTTTTTTTCTATTTAATCTCTAAAATTTACATAATAATTAGTGTTCATTGAATTCATAAAACAAAAAATAGTTCATTCTTGTAAATTGTACTTGATGAAATTTCATTTCATATTATTTATTAATAATTCAAAGCAAAAAAGGCTTATTACATCTGAATTGTCAAAAAATGACAGCTGTCAGAATTCCGTCGAATTAAAAATCGGACTATAGAGAAAGATAAGTGAATGTCAGGCCTCCCCAACCCGTCTGGGCAGCGTGGGAAGTGTAGACCAAATCCGCCTTTTGCTTCTGTAAGATGGAATGGTTGTAATCCTGCAGTGCATCAAAGTTTGATTTGGACTTCTTGTGACATCTAGTAATATTTTAAAAGTTTTGAAGATCTATCTGTAGTGTCTTCTGTCTCACTTACTCACTTTTAAATATATTTTTTCTTTTCTGTAAAATTTTTAAAATATTTTATTTTACTACAAACCTTAGCCATTATGAAGTGACTTCATTGTGCCTACAAATTTATGCAATGTTTGCGATAGTTCTGTGTGTAACAAGTTTGTTTAGACTAGTGTACGAGTATGATAGCATAAATTACATTATAGCGACGATTGAAAGAAAACATTTAGGATCTGGTGAATAATATCACGGGTATGATTCATATTTTAATTGGGGACACAACAAAAATCAATTTTCTCAGTTTGCTTGTTCAGTTGTAGGTATGTAATCTGGTTCAAGTCTGATAAGTGAATTTATCAGTGAGTCATGACATTATAATCGATAAATATGACTCATGTGCGTATCTTTGTTTCGTAAACACAATGTATTTTTATTTACACGTATTTGAATTTCCTGTTAAATTCTAAAAATCAATATCACACTCAAATGGGACTTTTTTTTTATTGCCATCCTCCGAATCTTAAACCTGAAACGATTTATCCAAACAACCTAGACTGGAAAGTCATATTGAAAAAAAGTATGTCTGTCAGACTTACTTGGGTGGTATTTGACCTGGGGCATTGGTACTCCTGGCTGAGGAGCCATCCCTGCGCCGGACGGCGAAAACTGCGGCGGCTTTGGCGCGAACGCATTGCCTGATGGGTGCAGCGAAGGGCAAGACTTCGGCAGGATAGGGTAGGATCCGGCCGGCAGAGGGATAGCAGTAGCAGGTGTAGGCTGCAGTGGCACTGGTATAAACAAAATTAATCGTGACTCATCAATCATAATTTTATCTTATGTGAAACGTGATAGTAAAATTCGTGACAAAATTGATAATGATGAACATAAATAACAAAGGAGTATTGTAATAGCTGGTAAATTTAATTTCATAAACAAATTGGATACTTAGCTTGCACTTTAACTTCCAAAAATTATTGTACAAAAACATCACAGCAGACAATAAGCGCACAATGGACAAGTTTAATGCATTTACTTACACCAGTAATGAGTGGCGAATATGACTGCATTTTTTAAACCATAAATTCTACGACAGCATCATCATCATACAGCAGCAAAATCCAATCAAAACCCTATTTTCTGACAGTAAACCAACTTCTTGAATCTTCATTGAAAATCGTTTTTATTTCATCATTTCATAAAACAATTTGGAACATTATAACAGTAAAAAATAATCCCTCGATTGTTAGACGCAAATAGTCAAGGAATTATAAATTTAAGAATAAAACACTTACTTGGTGGAATCATGTGGGGGTAGATATGGTGTGTTGTGTCAGCAAGGGTCACATGAGTGTGGAACTCATGGTTTAAATTGTATTCCAGGGGAATGGCTCCGTCAGTAGGTGCAGTGGGCTTATCAGTGGCATCCATAAGATCTGTAAAAGAATTTATAAATGAAACATACACCAATACTGTTCAAGTTTAGGTATAAAGATGAATCGAACAATATCAATATTCAGTCAAGAATAGAAATGCACTATTGACCCTATACCAGATAATGAATGTGTCATTTATTGCTTTGTTGACCATTTTCTCAGTCAACAAATAATAGTGGCAAGTTTTAAGAAATTCATGATCATATCATCTGCTAACACCTCTTTAACGCTATTTATAAAATAAAATTACATTAAAAGCAAAATAAACAGTTTATATACAGGGTGTTAGGTAAATGGGTATATGAGCCGACACTAGCCCATGTTAACATAGGCATATAAATGGTATGGTGAAGTCAGAAATTTGATATCATCATTTTTTTTTTTAATTTTCATACAAAATAAATTTTATAAATGCGATTTGTATGAAAATTAAAATAATTAAAATGAAGATATCAATTTTCTGACTTCACCATACCATTTATATGCCCATGTTAACATGGGCTAGTGTCGGCTCATATACCCATTTACCTAACACCCTGTATAGTATAACTGTAACAATAATTACCAGGTAAAACTAAAAATAACATTTGACAATCCTCAGCTTCTAATCACAGAAAAAATCTGCTCATAGACTTCTGACTGATCGCATGATAGAGAAAATAAAAAAAAAACAATCCTAATACCTTTCTCCTTGTTAATCACAGTCCAACCATCAACCTTCTCAGGTGATGCATCTCTCGGGGTCTCGGTGCCAGCAGATTGAGTGCCGGTTGAAGGTTCAGCGGGCTGAGCAGCAGCAGCCTGAGAAGCAGTAGCCTGAGTAGTCTCCTTCTCAGCCTCGGGGACTTGCTTATTGCCATCGGTCATCTCCACATCGAGGTCATTCAAGTTGGACGATGACACCTTGGGAGGGCTCGCTGGGGTAGGCTGAGCTTCAGCTGCAGCCGAAGTGGCAGCTGAAGTGGAAGCCGGGGCCTGCTGGCTCAGATGCTTGACCAAAGTGCCGTTGAGGCACATTTCCACAAGCTTGGGAATGTTCTCCACTCCGGGGTGGAAGGGGTGGCCTCCTGTGGAGGTGGAAGCCTCAGATTTGGGAGCTTGAGCTTCGTTGTTGGTTTTAGGTTCCTCCGGTTTCTTCTGGGAATCTTGAGGCACATCGCCGGCCAGGTTGGCGAATTCGTTCATGTAAGTGGCGAAGGTCTCGAGCCAGCTGTTGCGCGGGCCGCGGTGGCGGTCACCGCGGTGGCGGTCACCGCTCTTGTCGCGCTTATGGCGCTTGTGGTGGCCTCCCTCGTCGGGCATGGACACCGCCATGGATTTCAGCATGTGCCGCGACTTCTTGATGGCGGCCTTGATCAGGGCGCGCTGGGTGGGAGAAAGTTACCAAATTCATTGTATGTAATGTAATAGTTCAACTGTGGTTAGGTTATTATTCAAAAATAACGAAATATTACAAAGTCTTTGGGTCGTGACAAAAGATAATTACTTGAGCTAAATCTCTAGAAAACATTAAATTAGTTAATTTTACATATCCAACAGACATTGTCAATGAGTCATGTTGTACATAATTTGGATAAACATTGTGTAAGATTAAATTTTTCCATAGAGGTAACCAATTTTAGTAACTGAAGAAATCAACATTATCTAGTATTTGGATATCCATTATCTGCGACTTGAAAATACCTAAAACTTAGTTTTTTACACTTGAACGATAAGTAGGACAGCTGGAGTTTCCATTCTAACAAAACATGTTTAATTACATAAGTAAAATTTTATATAACGAGCCGGAAGACGCAGTGTGGGCAGGCCTCCCACTAGGTGGATCGACGATCTGGTGAAGGTCGTGGGAGGGGCACGACCTGTCTTTGCGGAAATCCTTGGGCCTTTGTCCAGCAGTGGACGTCATTCGGCTGAAACGAATGTAGCAAAATTTTTAATACTTACTGGCATAATGGGGGACGGCACCCGCACCATGCAATGCTCGGGATGAATTCGAGATCCCTCGCATTTCGAGCACAAGTCATAGTCCGGGCATGACGTACACTTGTAACGGAAGCCCACCACCGGCGAATCGCAACCATCGCACGTCACCCCACAGTGATGTAGGTTGGATGGCCCAACTGCAAGAAATGGTTAAAGGTAAGTGAACAAAATTCTCTACTATAATCTACCAACTGGTTAATATGGAAATGATTGGGGGACGCCTATGTTCAACAGTGGACGAAATTATGAAGTCAACAAAATTATGAAGATTGTAGTCACAAAGCTAAAATGATAATAACTCAGTTGCACAAGAAACCTTGGAATTTGAATGTTTGTGTTTCAATAATATTGTGTGGTCACTTGGTTTAATTTAAATTGTAAGTCACAGTTTTACAAGTCTATTCCATATGTTGGAGTTGTAAGAAATATAAAACATGTAGGTACTTAACAATATAATTTGAACAGATACCTACTAGCGAATACAAGAGTACACAATGTACATAAATGCTTTTCTCTCTCAAGCATGAATATTTAAAACAAATGAATTTTAATGAGTCATATAATTATCATGTTAACCAATATATTTATGCCTTAAAACTCACCAGTGGCATTGTCAGTCACAGCGGTGATGATGATATCAGCATCATCCTCCTTTTCAGCATCCTTCACGTAGACGTGGAGCTTGATGAGGTTCCCGTCACCGCACAAAGTTGATAGAGCGGTCACCATCTCCTCATCGGACGAAACGGTGATATTATCACCTTCCTCATCTATGAAAAAAATTGAGTAGAATATATATTTTGCTTGAAAGAAATACAATAGGCTTTTTTTCTTACACAGAAACAATAAAATATTGAGTCATCATTTGGTATATTCAAGAAATGTATTAAAGTTTTGTATTTCAATTTATGATTAATTTATAACAAGAAACAAATGATGTGGCTGTACATAAATAACCTGGATTAGTCACAACTTATCTAGATCAAAACATTATTGATCACTGAAAATAAGTGGACCAAAACAAATAATATAATGACTCCTACTTTTCATGTGACACAAAAAGTGAACAGATTTCATCATTTCCTTACCTTTCCAGGTCACCGAGTACGTTTTGGTCTTCAATCCAGGAAACACGTCATGGAGTTTAGCATTCAAATAATGAAAGCTGGTCACAGTGGTCTTCTCGATCCCAAATCGCCTCACTTCCGGCTTGGACTCCTCATCCCAGAAGGTGTAGATTTTAAATGGTACCTGGTCTTCCATGGCTGCAAATGGAAGTAATTACGATAAAATACAAATTAAACCTACACTTTTATTTACTTTTAATAGTTTTAATGTGATTAGAACCCAATGGCTCTCTAAAAACGAAAATTTTATTGATTGATTCACATCAATAAAGTTTATGTAACTACGAACTCTGAGTGGTATTTAGTTAGTATCTACTAGCCTGTTTTTCATGGAATCGTACAAAAAAGCCATGATAAAAAGAGTCGCAATGGCGCAGGTACCAATAATCTTAGATTTATTAATCTAAGCCAATAATCTACCACATAATTCTGCTAGCAGTTAGGTTTTAAAATATTTGTTAAACTTTTGATACAAACATTTATCTAAAAGTAACTACAAAGCACTAATTTCTACAGATTCTCAACTTGCAATTTTAAAGCAAACAAAGAATTAATACGCAGTAAATCTCTTACCGAAAATACGGTTTCAATATCAAGTATGAAATGCACACAAATATCACGTCCGTTTCACAACACTTTAGCAACGCTAAATGATGTTTTTACACGTTGGCTCACAATATAAATAAAACAGAATAAATATGAATCATCAAAGGAACATTGGAGAAAAGTTGTTGTCAGAGTGGTGCAATCCAAAACAATCAATACTCTGACGAAAAAATAAAAGTAATTCTTAGCTTGTCTGTGGTCTAAATTATAATTAAGTTGTCTTCGAGTATCTCATTAAGGAGAGGGTGTAACAACCATTTACAAAAAAACAAAAAGAATGTGATGTGAAATGTGAATAACCCAATTAACTGATTATGTATGTGTAATCATTTGCTCGTGGAACCGTAAGTGGTCGCATCAGACTATTCGCTATTGTGTCTCAATTACTTGGTACTTAACAAAGGGCAACAGGGAGTATCACAAAAGCATTTTTTCGTGGCACATACATAAACTAAAACCTTGAACCTTACTTTGAATCCCCTAATACAAGAATTGCTATTTAATTTGCTAGTTCATTTCAGCCAAATTAAATTATGACATCTCCTTTCCTCAATGTTTATGTGCCCATAGACAAAAGTGGATGACGGCTGACGCATTAACTTTAATCTGTGGACATGACGCAGCAAATTTATAAAAGGGCTTATACCCAGAGCCCCGATTACGGTAATTTTTAACGTCAACAATCCAGACACGCTTCTCGATTCTGCGATACGATTGGTCGTTCAACAGCGTACGTCAGCTGTTTTGACCAATCGTATCGCAGAATCAGAAACGCGTCTGGATTGTAGACGTTATAAAAGTTACCGTAATCGGGGCTCAGAGCCTAAAACATGAAGCTAAAGATAGCTTCATGGCCTAAAAGTCCTAAAACTTTTTATAAAAAAAAGTTGCAAATTGATAAACCGTCAAGAGATGGCGCTATCTTCGATTTTCAAGTGCTCTTTTCAATTTCGTAGAATTTTTTTTCAAATGCTTCAGCAATAAAATAAAACTCATACATAGGTTTAGATTGTATTATTCAATAAAATGTTTACTTATCTTATAACAAACTTACGCTAAATAACATTGTTTTTATAGTTTAACATAAATGTTTAAATAGGTATTTGAAATGCCTTTTCACTTTAATCTTGATGTGGTTTATCAATACTTTTTCTTATTCTATTTTCATTAAGCTTTTCATCAGCAAACTTTGGTGGTCCTCCTAATTGGGTGGTTTCTGGCACACTCAATTCTTCATTAAGTTTTTTAGCAAGGAAGTATATTTCTGCTAAAGCTATAACTAGAGCACACATAACACCAAGGAGCAACCGAAATCCAAAATCTAGGTTGCCAACCATCCATTCAACACCTCTGAAGCCAAATAAGAATCCAGCGAATATGGATATGATAAATTGTCCAATTGCAATCAATTGCCGATTCATTTGTTTTACTGAAAAAAAGAAAGAAAAACATGAGATAAAATATGTTGAACACAGACCAATTTCAGTGTGATTCATAAATTAAAGAAACAAAAATCAATAAACCAAGACCAGTGAAGTGGACAGTATAATGACAATAAAACATTTGATATTTTGAATCTCTACTTACACTGATATGAAATACTATCTTCTGGAAACCGCATCCTAACATTATCAACGCCTTTTGTCATTTTCCTGTACTCCCTAGCTTCTTGCTGGGCTCTGAGTTTGACACATCTTGCTTCCAAGTCTGGGTTTCTTTTTAGTACCTGGTTTTCAGGAAGTGCAATTTGGGATCCTTCTAACAGTTTGTGTAGGTGAGGGGTGTCTGGATCTTTGGTTCTTTTTTCTTTTAGGTATACATACAGCCACTCAATGTCTGATGTTGATAGGAAGGGACCTTCCAATTTTTCTTCAGAGTCTTTTTCTTCTACTTTTGTTTTAACCTCCAATGATTGTGCACTATTGCCAATTTCATTGCCCTTTTTACCAGCAGATGGCGGAGGCTCCACCTTTGAATTTTCATTTTCATCTTCAACAGTTTTAGTGAACTGATTTAAGATTTCAATTTCCTTGTTAGTTAGATTTACATCAACAGGTTTAAATGTCTCATTATCCTTGGTTTTCTCCTTGTAGCTCTCACCATTGACAATTTTTCCAATATTTAATGGAACATTTTGATTGAATGATTGCCCCTTTATGAAATCTAAAAATTGTATTGATGGATATATTTTTAAGCTGGTATCTACAAGGCTCCCTTTGAGATCCATATTTAGTTATTTGCTATGTTTAACTTGTGATTTAAATCTGCGTACAAATCCCTCAATTCTTCTTCTTTTTCTTCAAATGCGTTGTCAATTCTTTTGCACTTAAAGTTCATATCATCAATGAATTGATCCCATTCTTTTTGCCGCTTTTCACGTTTTTGAATTCTTCTTTGTTCACAGTCCTGAAACACATAAGAGCAAATCATAAAACTAAGTGCATAAATAAAAATAAATAAAAGTACTTCATCCATCACTATTGAATTATTTTTTTTTACATACTTTGTGCACTTCTAAGTACTCTTTTTCAATATTGTCACAAAGTTGCAGTGCTTGCTCAAGTTTTTCATTCAGAACAGGTAGTGAATGTTCAGCGATTTTGCTTATTTTTTCAACTTGGTTGTCTTTTATTTCTGTCAATTTCTCAAGTATGGAAAACAAGTTTTCTACTTCACGATCTCCTCGCTTCTCCTGAAACATGAGTAATTTATGTTAGTAATTTAATCTGTGTGTGACACATAGAAAAATTGCAAGTAATGGCCAATATTGTTGATAATGGCTGATGAAATTTGTAATCATACATATTTATTTGTTGAAATAAAATCTAGTATGCAAATGCATGGCTAAAGACCAACTGTATATACGTTTGAAAAATCGTTTAATATAAAATCATCTGTTTTCTTAGATTAATTAATCTAAGTCTGTTTTATACGGAAGGTAAGTAATAAGTCTTACAAGGGGTGTGAAAGTGAAAATATTATTGGTGCAACAGTTTGCCAAGAAGTCTTTACTTACCTCAAACTCTTTCACCATAAACTTTATTTCACCATTTAGAAAAGGACGGTGGTCAAACAGTCTCGACCAGACTTCACCAACTTCTGTAAAAAGGATTTCACCAAAATCACCAAAAATGAGATTACCTAAACTTTATTTGCTTTATATTTTTACTTGAGTCCAATGTCTCAAAGAGAATAACAGCAAACGAGAATGAAAATGCGAATTAAGTTAACTATAATTTGATAGCATTGATATAATGTTTACCTTCGCATGAAATTAACTTTTTATAAAATTAAAATTGGCACAAACCTCGTGACAGCTCCGTCATTCTTTTTGTCGTAAAAATACTCACTCATTCACTCACAACGTCAACAAATCATTTCATCATTCATTCAGACATGATAAGTCATTCACTTCCGGTTAAGAATGTTACCAAACCAAAAAATATTTTCATATTATGAGATCTTATGAGTTTGAAAAAGACTGAGACTTAGGCTGAGTTGCACCATCATATTTTAACTTTGACAAACGTCAAAAATCTGTCAAACTCCATACAAAAAGCACCGGTTATGTCATAGTTACCGTCAAAATTAGGTGGTGCAACTCAGCCTTGGGGTCGATTGGGGTAAAATCAATTCATTCGAATTTGCACATTTTAACAAATTAATGCAATGTTTTACAACTTTTTCGGTTCTTACAACATCTTTATCACATTATAAAATGCATGAAAAAAAGCGAGTGGTCGGGGTCGCAAAACATTTTTTCATACTTGGGGATCGTGTCATGAAAAAGGTTGAAAAAACCGGCTTTTACCCGTGGTCCCCCTAACATGTCCCCCTGGTGGGTCCACGGGTATTTTTTTTTACCCGTTGTCCCACCGTTCTGAACAGTGTTTGCCAGTGGGTCTCTACGGGTAATTTATTTTAACCTTGGTCCCACCGCACTAAGTGGCAAACATTGCATGTCACCTAGCCTTTAACTATGGACGTCGGGTCTCAGAGGCCCACCCCCCTTTCCGATTTCTCGGTTTAAACACCTTCCCGCCACGTGTTGCTCTCGACCATCTCAGTAGCTTCAGTTTTAACTGTGTTTGAACCGAGGAGGCATAAAATCGCGTCTTCCGGCACTTATTACGTGAGTAATAAACATTCAAAATTTTGTCCGGGCCTGGGAGACCCGATGACTATAATTTTCATACAAACATACTTGTATGGATGTGACTTGTCATCCATATTTTTTTTACATTATATTGTTATAATCTTAAGTAAATTGCTCTAGTTTAAGAATACATAATGGCATAAAGTATTTGAGTACATCAGCTATATTATTAGCCCAACTATCTAAAAAACATTTCAAGATTATGGTATTACTTGTAGACTATTCTGTTTTTGATTTTAAATGTCTTAGAATTCACCATTGCTGCAGATTCCGATTCTGAATGGTGTACATTTTGCCTACTAAAGCTCTCAAAGAAAGATAACACATGCCTGTGTAAATAATTTGTCTCTAGTGTTCTAGGCCACTGTGTATAATTTCAGTAACTTTAACCCATGTCAAAATTTTTATATTATGTCCTTCAGAAATTCTGTTCATGTTTTTATGTTACATGGTTATTAATTAGCAAAGAAAAAAACATAACTTTCATTTATTAATGAACGACTGTAATCAAGGAGCCTATATGTGATTGCAAGTCAATTTACACTGAAAAATGTCTAAGTTTTTTAAATTTGCAAAAAAATAATTAAATGATGGTTAAAATTTGATTACATTTACTACTAAATCCTTTATTAATAGTTATTAGATATATATCAACTCTTTAATAAATTCAAATTGATTCAGATATGAAAATAAGAAGAATGTTAGATAGGGGTCTGTGAGACCCGACGTCCATGGGAGTGTGATTATTTTTTCACGTCCATAGTTAAAGGCTAGGTATCTATAATATTATAAAAAAAATCTTTAATTAATTAAAGAAAATAATTATAGGTAGGTACTGCACCATGAATAAAACTTAAGAATTAATGGACAGAACGACTTAGACGTTAGACAGAATGTCTACCAATGTCAAAGTTTGTACTATCAAGGAAGGGTATTATTAACATCATCATCATTCATCCACAGGATGTCCACTGCTGAACCTTAACCTAAAAAAAAACTGCTGGCTTTTAAAAAGCACTTTTACACGTTCCAGTAATAAACCCTACCACTGCTTCCGGACAATAAATAGGCCAATATGGTGAGAAGAAGCAGCGCAAGAAACTCAGTCACTATTGTCAGCCTCTTTTTCAAGGTTTTACAGACTTTAAAAAATACATAGTTATCAATATTTTATGCGAGCTAGACAGATAAGCATCCCATTTGTTCTTTTTAATAATCATCGACTTTATAGTAGCCCTTTTTATAGATTCGTCATGTCTGTCTGTCTGTCCGTCCGTATGTCACAGCCATTTTTTTCCGAAACTATAAGAGCTACTGTTGAAACTTGGTAAGTAGATGTATTCTGTGAACCGCATTAAGATTTTGATGCAAAAATAAAATAATAATAATAAATATTGGGGGCGCCCCATACTTAGAACTAAAACTCAAACATTTTTTTTTCGTCAAACACATACGTGTGGGGTATCTATGGATAGGTCTTCAAAAATGATATCGAGGTTTCTAAAATACTTTTTTTCTAAACCGAATAGTTTGCGTGACAGACGCTTCCAAAGTGGAAAAAAGTTGGTCCCCCCCCCCCTTTAACTTCTAAAATAAGAAAATGAAATTACACATTGACAATGAAATTATACATTACTATAAAAATTACCAACGAAAATTGTTTTGAACGAGATTTAGTAAGTACTTTTTTTTTAATAACTCGTAAATCGTAAACCGCTTATTACCGCGTAATCTTTCATACAAATAACTTACATTAAATAAAAATAATTTTTATTTCATAAATCAATGGTACGGAACCCTTTGTGCGTGAGTCCGACACGCATTTGGCCGGTTTTTCATTAAGGTACTTTTAATAATTATGTGCTATGAATTTATTAATGGGCAGTTCTGCAACAGTTAGTGGTAATTTATTCTCCCTGAATGTATATTTTCATTATTAACCGGTTTCAACGCCTTTCTGTTATTCACAGGAGATTGTTGATCCACCTTAGCATAACGAATAAATACTACAACCTATAATTTTTAAATACATACCTAATATTATACATAACATAGTAACAGTACCTAACACACTGACTCTTACTGAAATTAAAATTATAATTTCATTTTCTGACCGGCTGGGAATCGAATCCGGGACCTCTCGACAGGCATAGTAGTCCGTTCCGTACCACTACACCACACGGCCGTCAAGAGTCAGTGTTATTGTAAAAGTTGGGTCTATCGTACTGCTACAAACCACAAATGTCTCGTGACAATTTTAACACTTCGAATTTCGAAATGTTCGAAAAGTACAAATTCTCTTTTAGTTTTTAAGAATTTGGGAGATTTCTAGATTAGTACTACTTGCAACACTGATTGAACACTCATTCGAACTTCCGGTGAAATGGATCATTCTTCTTGTTCATTCATTCTTAGTTCAGCATTCTATCTCGCTTTTACAATATTTGCATTTCATTCTTTCTCAACCAATCAATTTTTAGTAATTCATTCATCATTGTTGAGATGGGTGGAGAATTCGTGTTGAACGTTGGAATTTTGTAGATGTGATATTGTTTTTATTTGCGCACTTGTGTTGTACGCGAGGATGTGTTTAGTTATTTTTGCATCGTTCGATAACTGTATTGTGTGATACAATTGATACGAATGTGTTGGGATTTTTAATTGTGCAGATTTGTGTGTGTAGTGGTAATCATGCCGGGTCTCATAGGTATCGGCGAATTTATTGAGGAAACTCGAGAAGACTACAGTTCGCCGACTACATCGACGTTCGTTTCGCGAATGCCACAATGCCGCCAGACAATCAACGCTTTGGAAGAGGTAACATTGTTTAACAATTAAACATGTTTTGATATTCTCCAATCAACAAAAGAAAAAGTAGTGCAGTCAGCAGTAGGTATTTTGTTTGGGCTACTTGCTGGTACTTCCAAGTCCAACGCAGCTACGCAGCGCAAATACGTACCTACATATTTTCCTACTTGTATTCTACACTGTAGGCTACACAGAATATTGGTTGGATTCTATAATTCAGCTGATGATAATTTTGTTGATTGATTGTAATCAACATTTTTGTTTTTATGTCGTTTGCTTGAGTAGTGAATAGTGATGTACCGATTGTGTACCAACGGTAAAATGTAGGGTAAACCGTATAGCTATTGCCCACTTAAAGATTTCATACACATTAAGATGAAAAATTAAAGAAAGTATTTTAATTATCGACCATTTATAACTTTTTTCTTATAACTCAATAAACTGTTAAACAGAATATTAACAGTTTTTAGTTAAAACTTACGTAGCTTAGAAAATATTGAAATAAATTTAAAATCCTCCAAAAAGTACAGTCATTGCCCATTACTTACACTAATTACCCACATCAAAGCATAGTAATTGCCCAGTATCTTAAAACAAAAAATCAATTTTAAAATGACAAAATAGGCTTTAAATAAACAAAACAAAACATTAAACTTAAATTCTAGTAGTACAGTCTTCACAATTTCAAAATAAATTGCGTTTAGCCTTATTAACATATTATCAAATATTTCTTGAGCTGGTGTTGATGAGTCAGAATCGGTAGAGACAGAATCATCTACTTCAAAACATAGATGACGCAAAAATTTGAATTTTATATGTAAATTTTATATGTATTTATTTTTTTATCTTCTTTGATATCAGTTCAAGTGGTTGCTCAGAATGTTCAATTAGCTGTTGGTTATTCTTCCCTAAAGTTGTATATATTTCCTTACAATTAACATTTTCACTAGTAGATTTAACGTAGGATTTTTATTTTTTGTATTTGCGTTTGAATTTTTATCAATTTTTTCAAGCCAAACCATATTTTTCAGCAATTTATCTTGCAGATAAATTTTTGGATACATCTTGTACAGCTTCGATAGCTTTTTGCAAATTTTCTATGCTATATTGAACTTTTGGAGTCTTTGGCATACTGAAAATGAAACATTAAAAGCCATTTCAATATTTATGCCTGTAAATTGCAAAACAAGTCTAGCAATGAGCAACTTAAACACTGCTACTGCATGGTGGCAACACTCTAATAATAATGGCCCTGGGCAATAACTATACATTAACATATGGCAATAACTGAAATGATGGTGGGCAATAACTAAAAATATACAGATTTACGTGCAGTGATTACCCACCGTTAAAATGACCGTTAGAAATCAAATTTTATCAGTTATTTTCATTGATAATGGAGAAAACACTTATAATTTCATCATGACTATACACCATTAGTTGAATATTAAATAACTTGCAAAAAAATTTAACCTCTAAGCAAGTAATTCCTTAGTAAAATTGTTAAAGTCTTTACCTGTTTGAGTAACATTTTCACCCGTCTTGACAAAATCCGCCATAACTGTTTTTTGTTAGTGTTTCCTATTGTAAATTTTAAATCTACTGTACATTGATCTCGGAGCCATCTACTTAGTAAATTCAAATCTAATTAGAGTGATTCAAAGTCAGCACCTGACAATATTATTCTTAAAGCGGGCAATCACTACCAGTGGGCAATCACTCTCTGGTTTACCCTACCTAAGGTTAACCCAAATAAATTATATCGTACTGCTTTAAAATACCGAATTTATTTAAAAAAAAACTGCGCCTTCCATTAACATGCGTTACACAATTATTGTAGGTACCTACACTAATTAATAATCAGAGCAAACATTGGATTTCATCTTGTAAGTAGGTAATATTATTTACTGCATAAATAATTAATTTTGGTCCCTGTCTGATAATCTGTTGACTTGGCATTAGATCTTGAGATCTTTAGGTAAATTAGGTACCTACATACGAGGTATTACCTACTTACATCAAATTAAATCATGATGGCCCATAACCAAGCCAATATTTTTTTTAAACAAGTTTTTCTGAAAAATCATTTAATAATATGAAAACAAGTTAGGTAACTCTTATGCTCATTCAATGACTTCATGTAAGTAAATAATCCCAACTTAATCCCAACTTAATATTATAAATGCGAAAGTAACTCTGTCTGTCTGTCTGTCTGTTACGCTTTCCCGCTTAAACCTCGCAACCGATTTTGATGAAATTTGGCATAGAGATAGTTTGAGTCCCGGGAAAGAACATAGGATAGTTTTTATCCCGGTTTTTGAAACAGGGACGCGCGCGATAAAGTTTTTCTGTGACAGACAAAATTCCACGCGGGCGAAGCCGCGGGCGGAAAGCTTGTGATAATATAATTTCTACTACATTACTAACTTTAGGCTGTACCTACATACCTACATACACATCGACATGACGCGATCGGACAAAATAGTCGGCATCGCATTATCGCATACTACTACCTAATAATTATTGCATGTCCTGGACAAGGACCACTTCTTCGTCCATCGTCATCCACATTAGTAGCATAGTATACCCCAGCTAAAAATCGATAGATCAGTCAGATGGTGCACTATGCAACACTATCACCTATCACTGACCACTGGGGATGTTTACCTACTTAATTTGACGAATTAAATTTATGCTAGTAGGTAGGTATGTACTAGCTTTCCGCCCGCGGCTTCGCCCGCGTGGAATTTTGTCTGTCACAGAAAAACTTTATCGCGCGCGTCCCTATTTCAAAAACCGGGATAAAAACTATCATATTATGTCCTTTCCCGGGACTCAAACTATGTTCCTGCCAAATTTCATCAAAATCAGTTCAGTGGTTTAGGCGTGAAAGAGAGACAGACAGACAGAGTTACTTTCGCATTTATTAAATAATATTAGTATCTAGATTACCGAATCCTAGGTACAGCTACCTACCTAAGTAATCTGGGGGCACNCTTTTCTTTTCGATGATGATACGGTTTTTGGCGTATTGCCAATCGGAATTCGGAATTACCATTAATCTAATAGGTGGCGTACCTATATTGGCGCATCACTAATCACTTTTAATGACAAAAAAATTGCAAATATTTGAGTTCATTAAAATTTATAAAACTCGTCGAGTGAGTAAAAAACTGTTGTTTTTTTGCCTACTTTTTTAATTGTATTTTTATGAACTTTTGGCGAGAATACCGCTATTTCTTAGCGATTGCCGGAATTCACCATAATGTTTATGACGTGGTTGTAACACTTGTTACGCGACCATTAAAAGCTAAGTTAGTCTTAGTTGTCGGGATTAACATCTTGTAAAACCTTTTTCTGCAATTTAAAATTACACAAAAAGAAATATCACTATCAGTGCTATGGTGACACATTTTTTCCTCAAACATTGCAATCATTCTGGGCTTAATTCAAAATAAGTTATGCTGAATAGGTACCACCCCCCAACCATCATCATGGTCCTGTAATTGTATCTATGAGCAAGAGTCTGTCAATTGGATTTAATGTGCACGCGTGAACCACAACTACGCCCCTTTTCCGTCACAATCATGAAGCTAACAGATCGATTAGTCGCTTGGTATCATCACTATTATTGTTTATATTGTGGCTGCATAATGTTCTGATAAAGATAACAGATAACAGTGTTGTGGTCGCCGTGTCCTGATGATTAAATTCTTACTTTAATAATAGCGCAAAAGACGGGGCTTTATACCTCTTAAATGGCGCAAAAATGCTGACAAAAATATTCGAATCAGACTAGGAAACAATTGGACAAAACGTGATGACGAATGCGACGTGAAGTCTCTAATTTAATAATAGGTACAAGGAAAATATCCTAGCTTTGTTTCCTGATAATATCGTTACTATTTGGGACTACGCTACGGTTTAATTCGATTGAAGTCCTAAGAAGTTGTAAGTAAAAGTTGTGCGATTGACACCGCTTACCGCAGTGTATCTCCCTTCGAAAGACCCTCCCGATTATAAATGACACGTCCATTTCAGTAACTTATCGTCTAAATAAATCCGCCAATGTCACGTGGCTTAGCTATTAATATCGCAACACGATGTAGGCCACTGCAGGGTTTCCAGTTTCCTGCGAGAGCTGATACCGTTACGGCGGACGCGGAACATCCGCTAACAACTAAACAAACTGGCACAGAAACAAACGTGTGGTTTACCGCTGAACCTTATGATGGAACCGGTAGCGAAATACCTAACCTACATAAATTACCAAATTACTTTCCATTAAATAAATAACTGTTTTCAAAATGACCATGGCGTCGCTTTTCAAAATAGTCCTTGATTTGAAGTTTGCACTCAGTAACTTGAAGGGTTTGCTTTTCTGTAATGGCATAACTCATTTTCCTCCATTTCCTATTCTCGTAACTTTACTTCCATTTCAGTTGTCCATAGAAATAATTACGCCAACTCTCGGGTTCGCGATGTTTTTGGGTGTGATGATGGCATCTTTAAAGACAGGATTAGGAGTTTCATGAACTGTCAACCACTTTCTCTATTTACCTAAATGAAAATACCACAAATTATTCTTAAATTTAAAAAATCTTTGTAATAATATTCTCTGAGAAAATTAACTACGAATTGTTACTTGTGCACGGAGGTGGCTATTTGTAACGTGTTGATCGAGGTCCGATAAATGCTATAAATAGACCGTGTAATAAATTCATTATTACTTACATTTTTTGTAGCAACCACATGAATATTTAAAAGATAATTAGCGATATCGAAAATTTAACTCACGCACTTTGCTGAGCTATGCGGAATACCTCTTTAATCCAGTAAATTAATAATGTTGCTGGTAATATGCATGCATATCCGAATTATTAAAGACCTCGTAGTTCCCTTTCAAATGTGTATTTTTATTTATCTCTCAGTGTAAATGTTTGCAGCACTTTATGGAACCGCTAATGGATGCCTGTCCATTAGTTGCAAGTTGCAAGAAGATGATTCAA